CATCAAATTACATGAGAATTCAATTTCTGGTTCAATAGAACTCAAATCTAGTTCCAAGAACCACTTTGGCCACATCCGGACATATTCCGGGTGTCCCGGGGAAAGAGGCCAACACCTGATTAGAGTCAAACAAATCATGCGACACATCAAATTACATCAGAATTCAATTTCTGGTTCAATGGAACTCAAACCACTACAAGAACCAGAACAAGAACCACTTTGGCCACATCCGGACATATGTCGGGTGTCCCGGGGGAACTCGAATAAAAATTTACGTTTGCCTAACGTTTGATGTCTACATCAGCATCGAAATAAAATATATTCCTGGCATCAAACATTAGAAAACATTGCAATTTAGATGTAACGTGAAATAAAATTTTGCTATTCAAATGTTGTTCTGACGTCGAGAATTTTAATCGAATTTTTATTTTTTAGATGATTTTAGACGTGCAAAACGTTAAAATGTAACGTTCTTCGGGTGTTTTCAAATGTAGATGCTTCCTGATGTTGTCAAATGTACAAGACATTAAAACAACATGATTTTCAGGTGTTTTCAATTGTACTAAGAACTTATTGTTTTCGGATGTTTTCAAATGTGCAACACATTAGAATCTAATTTTTTCTAATGCTTTCAACCATACAACACATTAGAATTACAAACATGATTTTGTAAACAGTACACACCATTGTTGTTAGATAACGTTATAGAAATGCATACATAATAGTCATAGCTAAAGCTCCCGTTCCCCACCAGTCAGTTAACTGACCTTAGCTAACCTAATATCATTGTAGCAACTCTCTATGCGGCATTGGAACCATCCCAACAAACAATTTTAGCTGCCGACCAGCTTATACAATCAAAAATTAGGTGCATAAGGCAAATGTTGGCTGTATAAGCTTATCGGCAGCTAAAATTGTTAGTTGGGATGCCATCAGCGCGCTAAGAGTTATTAGACTAATGACATAGGTGCCAATTCATGGATGACGAGGCACTAGGTGACGTTACAGCGAACTTGACGATTGTTGTATCATTTTTTAACGTACTACCAGACAATGATGCGTAGTGTTTACATGATCAAGTTTCCAACTCTACTACAATCTACAATCTACAATCAACTGGAAATCGATATCCGACGCCAATTTTAAATCGAATATGGGATATATTGTCATATACCGTTGATACCATTGACATCGATATGGGTATTTTTGGAATCGGGGTGACGTGTAGATATAGGAAATCGATATCCGACGCTACTTTGAAATCCAAGGTGGAGGATTCCTGTTGCAGAAAAAGTGTCAAATATCCATAAATATGGGTATTTTTAGAATCGGGTGACGTCTAGAGATTGGAAATAGGCATACGACGCCATTTTGAATTCCGAGATCCAAGAAGAGGTGGCTTCAGGTTTCAGAAAAATTGGGAATTACTATCAAATATCAATCAATATGGGATTTTTTTGAAAGTTTTTGGAGGTTGTCGTCTAGAGAAAATCGATATTCGATGCCATTTTGAAATCAAATGTGGCGGCTTCCAGTTTCACAAAAAGTGAAAAATAATTTCAAAAGTCCATAAATATGGGTATTTTTGGAATTTGGCTCACGAATATAGGCCAAAAATCAATTTTAATATAACTTTAACCTAACATTTACTTCCCAACAAACAATTGCCTATTGAAAAAACGACTTCATGACGATTTTATATCACTTCATGCTTAATAATACTTGTACTATTTTAAATATTAACTTCTGTTCAGGCTTTGTTCACACAAATCTGGAGAATTTATTCAACTACAACATCGAAGTATTTGGTGTTGAATAAGGTATGTCGAGAAGCAAAACTTCTTACAAAAATTGTTACAGAGCTTATTCGATCAAATTTTTGATTATTCAGCGTTAATTAGACATCATTACTTCCTTAAACAGCGAAGATATAAAGGTGTATATAGACGCTTGATTATTATGTGAAATATTGTTTCATTTGACACTATTCTACATTTATCAAACGATTATTAAATTACGGGATAATTTAACTTAAACTTAACTTAAACTTAGCATAAACTTAAGTTAAACTTAACTTAAACTTAACTTAAACTTAACTTAAACTTAAGTTAAACTTAACTTAAACATAACTTAACTTCAACTAAATTTTAACTTAACTTTAAATAAACTTTAACACAACCTTTACTTTACTTTGACTTAATTTTAACATAACTTAAATTTTAACATAATTTTAACCTAACATTAACTTAACTTTGACTTAACTTTAAATTTTAACTTAAATTAAACATAATTTTAACATTAACATAACTTGAACTTAAACCGAACATTAACTTAACATATCTTTAACTTAACTTTAACTTAACGTAATTTTAACTTAAATTTAACATAACTTTATCCTAAAATTAACTGAACTTTAACTTAACTTAAGCATCAACTTTAACTTCAACATAACGTTAACTAAACTTAACTTAAATTTAACTTAACTTAACTTTAACTTAACTTTAACTTACCTGTAGCATAACTTTAACTTAACTTTACTTGAACATAATTTTAGCAAAACTTCACCTTAAATTGAAACAAATTCAACATAAATTTAATTTATTTTTAGCATAACTTTAACTTTAACATAACTTTAAATTTAAATAATTATAACTTAACATTACCATAACTTTAACGTAACTTTAAATTTAACATAAATTTAATTTAAATTTAACTTTAACATAACTTATACATAAATTTGAATAAACTTCACCTTAACATAATTTTAACTTACCATTAACTTAACGTTAACTTAAGGCATCCTTAACTTGAATTTTACTTAACTTTAACTTAACGTTAACTTAACTTCAACATACCTTTAACTTAACTTTATCTGAAATATAAATTAACTTAACTTTATCTTAACATAAACATAACTGTAACTTACCTTTAACTTAACTTAAACATAACTTTAACTTAACTCTAGCTTAACTTTAACGTAACATTAACTTAATTTTAACTTTTGTTTTAACAAATGTTTATCTTACCATTAACATAACTTTAACTTTAACATATCATTAACTTAACTTTAACTTTACTTTAACATAATTGTAGCATAAAATTAACATAACTCTAACTTAATTAGCCGAACTTTAACTTAACTTCAACATAATTTTAACTTAAATTTAGTTGTTACATACTTAATTTAACTTAACATTGAAATAACTTTAACTTTAACTTAATTTTAATAAAAATTTAACTTAACTTTACCTTAAACATAAACATCGGGATCCGGCATCGGCATGCGTTGCCGGATTCCTCCAGCGGATCAGTGGAAGCAGTCTGCGTAATTAGTGGAAGCAGTCGGCTGAAAAAAAGTATTTTAAAACATCATCAAATTTTTCATCTGTCTGTTAGAATTTGTAATTACTTTCCAAAATTGATCCGCTGGAGAAATCCGGCTGAGTTATGCATCCTAACTGATGCAACGCATCAGTAAGAATGCTTAACTCAGCTGGATTCCTCCAGCGGATCAATTTTCAAAAATTATGTCAATTAATAACACAAACAGTTTAATACTTACCCTATTCAACTTCTTGTCGCCAGCTCTACCTCCGATAATCCGGAATTGTACTGGATCCTGCCTAAAAAAAATGTCAACATCAATTATCATGCACAATTTGCATGCAGAATATTTACCATATTTACCTTCCATATCCCATTAGCTGCTCTCCCAAGATGGCTATCGCAGGCCATTTTCGTGGCGCGGATAAAAAAGCACTTCTACACTCGCACGATATGAAAGGATGACTGACAGCCGCCGCGAAAAAAAATCACAAAAAAATGGCTAAGTTCCATCCGCCATTTGGTAGCCCGGCGCATGAAATTACTCAAGCGGGGCGAGTCGCCTTTTGTCCGGATCCCGGAGCGCCATTTGGTCGCCCGGCGGATGAAATAACTCTAGCGGGGCGAGTCGCCCTTCGTCCGCATCCCGGACAAAGGGCGAACGATCAGTCTTCAAGTCGCTCAATGTCAAATGACGTCACTTTTTCGCCGGAAATCCGTGTGGGATCTGAGAGGAGCTGTTTAGCCTCGGTGAGGAGCATTACAACGCCAAATAGCGAATCGGTTGGACAGGACTCTTTTAGATTTAAATCAAACTTTGTGTAAATGTTGGTTGCTACAAAATGAGGGATTTTTCATTAAAATATTGATAATTTGTCGCAACGGTGCCGGTGGTGTAGTGGTAAGCGTGAATACCTCTCACCCCAGCAGGCCTCGGTTCAATCTCCTTCGGCGCCGCCGGGATGTTCTGAGGCATAACATCTCAGATCACGCCGTTGGTCCCCGGTCCATGAGTTGATGGGTCGATAGGTAGGATCCAGGTGTGGGAGCTGCCTTCCTGGCGTCGGTAGCATTGGTGCTGACAAAACAAGATCGACGAAAAACAAATCAAAGAAAGAAAAAAATATTATCCTTTTTTTTACATACGCCATCTTAACAAGTTAGTTCAGAGAAATTGGACCATTTTTAATGGGAAATGTCACTATGGGATTGCAACCAACATACTTTATGTGCAAAGTTTTATTCAAATCTGAAAGGATCAGGACAAAAGTGTTTTTTTTTTCGTTTTGAGCTGGAAATGCTCTGGTGTATATTGATCAAAGGATTTATGTGGGCTGCGTGTGTACTCAAGCATCATTTAGAAATAATCAAAGACAACATATCAAGAAGACTGGCAACTTTGCCGGAATCCAAACGACAGATACAGTAGCGCTGCCTTCGTGTGAAGATGGAAGCAAAGCATAGAAAAATGAGCAAATGCACCAACCATTCTTCTGAGGATGAAACCTTTGCTTTCCATTTCGTTCGTTTACCTTTGAGCAGCAGATGCCACGATTGTGCCTATCTCATACCGGTCGTATGAGAAAATTGAAGAGTTGGTAGTCTTCTTGATATAACGTCTTGGTAATACTGCGAAAATCCTGTCCTATATTTATGTGTAATAAAACACTTTTCCCTTATTTCTCCCGTTCAAAACCCTAACATGGTTGTTCAATGAAATCCAGGGCTGCACTCGAAGCCTTCGTCGCGCTCGTACTCGTTCCCTTCGCAATGGCCGTATGCAGCTGTAGTACACGAGTTCCCCCAAGCTCAACATGCTGGCACCCACAAGCAGTGCAAAGAATCCTCCAATCTTTGCCACAGCATCTGTGAAACCCATCAGTTCTCGTCTCCACATCGGTAGGTAGTGTCGTTCCTTGAAACCGACAATCATCACTGCTGGATCAACTCTGTGGGACAATAGGTTACTTTTAACCTTGAGTCAAGATCACTATCGCTTGAACATGAAAACCTACGAATCGTATTTGGCTGGCAATCCAAGCGCCATTGCCATTTCGTGAAAGTTGAACGGAATCTGTGACATCTCTACGTCGTATTGTATGGAATTACAAGGGGGTAGACAGTTGCAGTCGGTTTCCGGTTTGCCAGCCATAAGATTGGACAGCATAAGGTTATACATATCCTGATAGACTTTGTTATAGCAGTCGATTTGGCTGGCATCACATACTTTCATTCCGGTTGTTCGAGGCATGGAAAATTTCACACAGCGGCAGCTGTTGAAAGTGTAATTGGAAATGCATTCCATTATGCAATTGTACAAGGTGTATGTTTTGAAGAACCGCAAGTAACGTTCGTCGTTGAAGAAGCATCTGCGTCTGGATAGGCAGTTTGTTAAAATGAGCTCAAGAAATCTAGTCTAGCGCTTTGTTACCTGTTGGGAGGAAGTGATCTGAGATGTTTTCCAGTTTTAATCACTCGTGGAGTAACCATTAGGGTAACGGAATTCAGTGTATTTAGGCGAAAGAACAAATCTCCAGTTAGTGGTATTTCACCAGGAGTATGAACGGCGAATTTGTAGCCGGTATAGGGACCCTGATAGTATTTAGAAAATAGAAAGTTGTTGAACTTCTCTTCAAGAATGGGAAGGCACATTCAATAAAGCAGGTGTGTTCCCATCAATATGATTAATCCATCCAATGCTTACCCTGCACAGAAACTCCTGGTCGATCTTCCGCATCTCTGGCATAAATAGCAGCCCGGCTTTAATTCCACTGGACAGTGCACGATATGGGAAGGCATTTAATCCAGCCTGTTTATCGTATCCACCTTCTTGCGTCCATCTGGACGGAATCGCCAAGGTAGTAAAATTTGTGAAATCCACAGACATTTCGTTCAAGCGATACGTTTCATTGGGCAAAAACTTATTGAATGTGTAGCAAATCCCATCATCTACCAAATTTTCCGTAAATAACTGATTGCATGGAGTTTGCTTATTTCGCCACATGCACAGATCCATGACTTTGGTGAATGGGAGGGACATGTTGTGCAATGTTTCAACAATAGCTTCATTTGGATCCACGCTGAAATTTTTCCAGTAACGAGAAAATGGACAGACATGTGCCATAACCCGCAGCTGTCTCTCTCTGGAATGATAAGTAGTTCTCCGTAATGGTGGAACGATTCAGTATATCCACTGTACCTGTATTCATCCAGAACAGATCTATTCTTGACCATTTCGAACACTTCCGTTAGATTGAATGCTTCGACGCGTGTTTTGGTGAGGGGACATATCGTTATAGCCGGAAAGGGGATCGTAGATACCGGAGAAAGTTGTGGAGCATATACGATGACAACCGGATTCTCGCACCATTTGTGGTACGTGGCCAATGCCGAGAACCAGCACGATAGGAGTGCCATCCAAATCCAGATAGCCCACCATATTCTAAAAAAAATAATGTGCTAGTTGTATTAATAGTGAATCTTGACCTAGATCAGTTCATGAACCTACCGTTCAAAACGTGTCAGCTGTCGGTTGGCGAGGAATCGGAAAGCAAATATAGAGGATTCCGCTTTAAACTCCCGGTAGAGCTGACTCCAGCTGATGGTGGTCTTTGGCATGGTTCCGTGGCGTGCTTTTCGTGTTCACGGTAAAATAGCGTTTGATAAATGTGTTTGACGTGTTTGCTCAACTCCATGTCATGGATGCTCGTTAAATATTTATCATTTGTCCGATGTCTCTGCTTCTGTATTGTACATATTTGTATGGAAGTAGTTATAAGCTTACCATCATATCAAGCATGATTGTCATCGTGTAGTTAAATTTACTGTGAATCAGAACTTGGTTGTATTAATAATTAATATTTCCAAGTTCTGGTTCAATTATTGAAGTGAACTTTCACATGTTGCCTTGGTGTTTGAACAAGAAGGTATCATCATGCATTTATCAAATGGATCAGCGATAGGCGTAATGTAACTGGGATATTATGGTACACAAAAGAAGACCATGCTGGAGGTGGTTGGATTCGATTTCCGGTCCGGTCTAGGAATTTTTCGGGTTGGAAAAATTCTCTTCTTCCCTGGCCATAGAATTTGAATGTACTAGCCACAAAATTATACTAATTCAGAAATGGAACAGGCATCGTCTCAATTAATAACTGTGGAAGTGCATCTAGAGCACTAAGTTGAGAGCACGGATTAATCCAATATGCGATAAACAATAAGCGTGAAAATGGTGTGATAAGAATTGAAATCCATTCATAAATGGCCTACACACTTAGAAAAATTGATGTAAATTTAGGTGCTCTGAGACTGACACATACGAGCGTCGTCAATTTTGACATAAAATTGAGTAATAATAGACGTGAAATTTAGCTCAATCAAACGTACGTAATATTTTTCGTTTCTGCTCGATTGTGTGAATGTATGTAAAGGATACCATGCTTGGCATGCACAGTTGTACACACCAACTGCTCATTTGGTAATAACTTTTCACTCAGATATTGAAATTTATTTTTCTTTAAAGTAATTGATAGATTATGTTCATAGTTTACTATAGATATGCGAAGGTTAGGTAAAGCTTAACATTTGAATCAATACTAATCAATTTAACACTTAAATTTTGAGATGTGTAGTGAGCATTTCTCACCTCATTTTTACAACGCAAAAACAAATACAGTTTACTACTAGCATTAAAATCTACTTTTTTTTACATATCTATAACAAGCTTACACTCTATTCTATCTACTGCTTCAAAAAGAACTATGTTCCGTCAACTGTGTGCAAAGTTATTAGAAAATGAGTAGTTCGTGACCAAAACTGTGTATGCCAAGCATGAAGGATACCACTCATTTTTGCAGGGCACAGCCATTAGACAGTCAGTGGACAGTCCACCTCGTATGGCTTGATCAAGTACGATACCTGGTTTTATTCAATTTACCATTGTATGAAGGGCCATGGTATTCATGTATGGGTCCTTATCCTTAATTCAGAGGGACATTCGACGCTCGAAATCCGAGATATCTGCTTGGACCTCGCACGCATCTTCGTAGGGTGGACCCGTAAGCAGGGACACTTACACATGATCCACGGGAGCAAGAAGAGTCTCCTTTCAATGATAAAAATGTTCCAACCCGATACAGAACATACTATCATACGAGGGGATGTCCCAATGAGTGGGGAGAAAAGCCCACCTTCAGTTCATGAAATGTTAACAACAGAGAGTTAGGAATTCCACTCTTCCCATTCAAATCGTTTCAATCAGGTCCCATCCCTACCCAATGAATTTATATGTGTATATGAAAAAATATGTAGCATATATAAATATTATACTAACCATGATTTTCTGCTCAGTAAGTAAAAATGATCCCTTCAGGGTAATCGAGCAGTGATGTCATTTCACCCAAATGCGGCTCTAGCGTACGTATATTTTGCCTCCTCTGAGGATGTATCCATTGCAACTCATGCGAGCAAATCACTACGTTTACGGTGAGAGCACGACAATCCATGTGTGAGAGAGTGCTTATTGAGAACTTCTGTGGTGAAAACTAAAACAACTCTCTCTAGATAAATGAATTTAATGTGCTCTCAATTTCACTCACCTCGGGTTTACCTCTCGAGAGACTTCACTGCAGAGCCCACTCTCCAGAGCATAGGTTTGAGCGCTTTTGAAGCATTATTTTGGTACAAGCATATTGCACAAAATGGACCTACTATATATGAGACACCAACCAATCCCACCAAGGCGGTCATTCTCTAAACAGGCCTGATAGGACTAGGAGTTGTAATTAATAATAATTGTAATTTCTAAGAAATGAAGTTGAAAAGACGCATCTGTGTCACTTGATAAATCATACATGTATACTACATAAATACAAGAAATAAAGATCATTTTAAGTCAAGTAAGTTACTACATATGAGCGTTTCGCGTCGTGCGTAGGGTTACCTTATGTTACCAAATTGATTCCTGGTCTGCCAGAAATAATTCTGGTACAATAGCAGGTTTCTTTGAACATTTTCTATCTGTCAAATTTAAGTTGAAATTCACCAACGGGAGCCACACAGATTGAATCCAACATTTGTTTGATTTTGACGTTCTGGTTCTATGGGATTTTAGGTATTTCAAGCATAACTATTCAAGTCGACGTATCTGATTTTGTAAACAATCACTTCAATCGACGATTTGTAGTAACTGCAAGCTCACTAGCTAGTAGGCGAAAGTTTCCCTTACCTGCTGATGGTGTTTGTTTGCGTGAGCGAGTTAGCAGTTAAGCCAAATTGTCGATTGAAGAGATTGTTTACAGAAGCAGATACGTCGATTTGAATAGTTACGCTTGATTTTGTTTCGGCCGCTGCCATACTGAGAGCAATGAGGCACGCGAAGCGTGAAATCGAATGTAAGGGATAATATCAATAATAGGAATTCTTTTGTATAGAACGATAAGCGCGCCTCTTCGCTCTCACTATGGCAGCGGCCTTAGAATCCTATGCTGAATATATGGTAAAATTAACAGGCTGCTTAGATGTTCCATGTTAGTTTCAATCAGCGATTACATATATCCTGATTTTTGTACATGTTAAAAGTTTGGATGTTTTTAAGGCTGTAAAGCTGTAGTTTTAATGCAAATCAGGTAGACTAGATCATTTCCAAGTATCAAAAATGAATTATGAAGGCTAGTTTGATACCTTTTTCAGAAGCATAACGAGAAGATGAATTGAATTGGTAACTACTACAAATGAACAATATCAATTGAACCTTTGTAAATCATGTATTTTGTGATAGTGCACATATTACTAAAAAGATTGGTAAAAACTTATTGTCCTACTTTAATGTTCAGAAAAGTAATCATTGTCCGCCTTAATCTCCAAACCTCAAATGAAATGTCCTCCTTTTCAAGTTTTTGATATGGTAACCCTAGTCGTGCGTGTCTGTTGTGCATTTGGTTTGAGCGTGTAATTGACAAATAGAAAAACTAGATGAATAAAGAAAATGGGTAGATGTTGTCCAGCAAATTTTCAATAAGAAAAAAAATGATAAATAGTTACGGAAATGAGGTTTTCTTATCTTGGTGTTCGTTGTGTGATGAGGCTGGTAAACCATTTAAATGTGATTCTACGGATTCTACGTTCAATTTGTCACGACATTAATTAATCAAGCATAAGCAAGAAGCGGAAGATAGTGGAATTAGTGCACCAGAAGGACATGCTCCAGTGCCTAATCGAATTACTTGTCATATCCATAAGGCTCATAGTGAAAAATATCTAGAACAGCGTTTTTTTTTCAGTTTGCTGTTGGGACAATTTGCTGAAAAGCACAGTTTTCGGAATCTCCAAAAAAAAATTAAATGGGGTGTAAATATGTTATGATCTATAAATTTACCTGTAGCATTTCATATGCACCATTCTAATTTCACTGCTTCGGAAACATGCACGGAAGATTGTTGTATGATCAATTTAAGAGTTTTCATAAAATGAGAAATTATAAAAAAAAAAGTTGCCAAACACGTTAACTACGCTTTGCCATCGCTGCCCAATAGCGATAGCAGCACGCAAAGCCTTTTTATAAATAAAAATCCACTTGGGGTTGCGGCACGATAAAATACACACAAGACACCCGCAATTCCATGCAAGAACATAGCTTCTTATTTATTATTAACTCTCCTTTGTTCTCAGCAGAAGCTACAACTCTTTATTCCCATGGTGAAATTGCATAAGTTAACTGTAAATCTGCAAGAAAAGTCGGTGTCTTCCACACGAATAAATCACAAGGATGCGCATTGATCAAAGATACCGGTATTGGTGATGACGAGTGTGTTGATTTTGTATGCGGTTTTACGTGAGAAGGTGAAGGAGAGAAGAGTTTTTACTTTTTATTCACACAATAGTAAAGGGTGTCCACGATGAAATTGCCACACTATGAAATTGCTCTAACTTTTTAACCGTTGGGTAGAATTTAATGAAAATTTGGGTGGATTTAGTTCATAGTGCATTATTAACATCCTGCAAGTTTTAAAGTCCTGTGATCAAAACTCGCGGAAATGGAGTCGAAAGAACAGCTTGTGCGTGATAAAATCTTGCGCATTCATCACGAGAACAAGGATCTCTCGCATCGTTCCATCGCTAAAACGTTGGGAATCGCGAATTCCACGGTGTCGCGAGTGATTAAGCGGTTCGAGGAACGGTTGACCACCGATCGGAAGCCCAGAAGTGAAAGAAAAAGTATTCCGTACAATACCAAAAATCACAACCGCGTAGTTGGGGCCTTCAACAGAAATCCGAACGCCTCCGTTAGGGATGTGGCTAAGAAGCTGCACCTAAGCCGAAGTTTTGTCCAGAAGGCCAAAACTAAGGCTGGGCTTCGAACGTTCAAGGTACAAAAGGCCCCTAATCGCGACGAGAAGCAGAACAAGTCCGCCAAAACCCGTGCCAGGAAGTTGTACCTCAACATGCTGACGAAAGTTGAATGCTGCATCATGGACGACGAAACATATGTGAAGGCCGACTTCAAACAGATCCCCGGCAACCTGTTTTTCACGGCCAAGGATAAGTTCAGCGTTCCGGAGCATGTCCGCACTCAGAAGATGTCCAAATTTGCGAAGAAATTCCTGGTTTGGCAAGCCATC